GTGTAATATAAGTTTATCTTACCTGCGCTTGATTACCTTTTTTTAACGACCTTGACGTCCAGTACATGGTGTGCCTGCTTTACAGCTGAGCCATGAAGCGCCTCATAACAACCGTAGTTACAACAAAAAGTTAGAACTGGAGAACAACTTATCCAAGAAGGCCAGTAGTAGAACATTTTTTCTAAGTCAAAATGATTTCCAATTTTGTAGCGGTTCTCATGAAAGTTATTTAAACCAATCAATTGTCTGTTCTAAGGAGCTTGTTCCAGATGTTGGTTAACAGTAGGGATAAAATAAAACAGACTGATTAAAAAATACATTTCTGACTCAGAGCTGATGGAAAAGTAAAAATTTAAAACTACTATTCTTAATTTTCTTTTGCAATTTATGTGAGCCCTATCAGAAAACGAAGGTAGCTATGTTTTAGACTGCATCTGAAGTGAGAACTGCTGATGTAAATCATTTATTCATTTGCATCTACCTTTAGTATTAAACCAAATTAGGGCTGCAACTAACAATTATTTTGCAAATGGAATAATCCGGCGATTAATTTCCGAATAATCGATTAATAACCGGATAGCCACAGGTTCCTTAAAGAAGACTTTTTGCTGAATTAAACCAGGAGAAACTCAAACTTTTCCACTTACATATTGTCAGAAAAAAAGATTTTTATCTTAAATGCAAAATGTTTAAATATTTTCATACATATTTTTGTGTTTTAGATTCTCTAAGCTCAAGTTAACGACTAATCGATTACAAAGTTAGTTGACGATTATTTTAATAATCAATTAATCCAATTAATTTTTTTCCACCCTAATCTTCCCCTGTAAGTATGTCAATTGAGTACATAACACTCACTAAATAGCTTACATGGCTAGTCATCAGAATCATTAATAAGTAGCAACTCTAACAGCTTTCTGTTCTGTTATGTAAAATAAATTCCACGCTTTACATTCAAATTAAATCCAATATTGTTTACCTTACATTAGAAGACCCTTGTAGCCAATTCCTGCAAGTCAGACACTTACTACTAATACATACTCCACAAAATCCAAGACATCCATAATCATGGTTTTCATGATAAATCAAATCATATTATATTCCTTATTTATGTATTTTTTGCCTAGAAACATGTTGATGTTAAGAAATTCAGCAAATACTTTTAGAAAATCCTTTTGAATTTCAACCATTCAGATTAAGCTTATAAAGTACATAATCAAGTGTTGGGCTTTATTGACTGTATAACTGAGGTGTTTTATTCTAATTTGAAGGATTTTAATCCTAGTCACACTCTTTTTATTAATGAGCTAATGGTAGAGGCTACATCCTGCCGTTATTTTCCTCCACAATGACAGAGTAAAACTTTTACAGCCTGGTAAACAGAGCAATGACCTTTGGAACGGATGAAGTGTTTTGGTCTGTTTTTCCTTTCCGCAGTGACGATAGCGGATTCTGTCCTCCCGGGGCGAACTGAACGTTTCTGACCCGTAATCACTGCTCATCCATTTTTCACACCTCCCGTTCTCACTTCCACCTACCCTCATCCTCACCTACACTTCACAAGACCTGCAAACACACACACACACACACACTGTCAGCGTTGACATGGCAACCACAAGCTTTAGCCTGAGCAGCTTCAGGAGATGAAGCTTTAAAGTTCGGGCGGATAGGTGATACCAGATAAGTAGCAGTGGAGCGTAAAGCAGAGCTGGATCAGCCTGGGCTGTGTGAGCTCTGTAAGTGCTGGTGTGTGTCGCTGGCGGAGCGACAGGACTTGGACACAGGAATGCCAGACAGGATGCAGGAAGAAAATTCCAGAAACAGTTGAGTTTGTGCAACACATGCCCCGAGGTGGCTTTGCAAAACAGAGAGCAAGCTTAAAAGAGTCTCTAGAGTCCAATTTTACTACGATGTGCTCTGATGTCTCCAAGTTACTTTCCCAGCTTGGGAAATCTTCTTTAGTGCAAAGAAAATTCCCATTTGGGATTACTCCTCAGCAAGATTTACTCAGGTCATCCTTTTCTTTTTTTATATATTATTGATAAGCTGCTGGAATAAAAACGCAGCACTTGAAAATGACTTTCTATTGTTTTCCTGAAACCTGCTTCCCTTTTGGGTTACGTGCCAGACTCAAGAGAAGCGCCACAACTCCATTAGGCCATCTGTGGAGAGGATCGGGAATAAACACAAGAACAATTGTATGCGTATTCCGGGAACAAACAACATAACCCAGAGATGCTCAAGTGTGGAGCACAAACAAGCGTGGGCCGTTTCTATTTCCATGTAAGAAGGAGAGAGAGAGAAAAAACATCTCTTAAATACCAGAAACATGAATCCAACATGGAAATGCCTGCATTGGAAACCCAAAGCTGTCATTATATAGCTGTTGGATGTAGAGCGGCTACTGCCTTTTTGTTCTGAAGGTTCATTCTATCAACACAAATGCAAGAAAATGACTTATTGGTCTTATGTTTGCTTTTTGTTAAGTTTAAAGTATAAGAAAAGGGATAAAAAAAATGTTTCAGGTTTGGTATGGAATTGGCTGCTGAGAAAACTCTTTTTAGTTTGCTGCTGCAGCAAACTGGAAACTGTTTGTGGTTCAATATGCAAGAAAAGAAACTATAGCAGGTTTTTTTCTGTGGTTTTCTGCCCTTCTTCCCATTATGAACTGAGGATGAGCGTTGGACACAGACAGAAACAGCCTCGGGGATAAACATCCAGGAAGGCTCAGCGAGGAGCCACAGCTGTCCTCGACTGGAACCTCTGCTGGAGTGAAACACGACCAGACACACACACACATGGCAAGGGAAAATAAAGCAGATGGCAACAAGTGGCTGAGAAAGAAAAAAAAAATGGCCTATAATATTTTGAAACAAAATCAAATGAAAGGGATTTATTACACAAAGATTTGAGAAACAGAATTCAATTATAAACCACTGTTTGTTGTGGGCAGTTTAGAAATGAAAATCATTTGTTGTTGTTGACAGCATCTAATGCAGGGACACACGCTTAAATTCTCCTCGACTTTCCTCTGCTGGTTTTGGCCTCAGTTATTTAACTTTATGAGTCATAATCCAAAATCTTTCTGTGTTTTCAGGTGATTGATCTTTAAGATGGACCAGGAGGAATCATTTAGCCACCCAGTTAGACACTGTTTGGGGTCATCAAGAGCATTCTGCAAGGAGAAAATTATTTGGACCCTAAAACTATTTGTTATTTTGTTTTGTTTTTTTATTCCTCGGTCAATCGAAGTTGGCTAATGGTTCTAAAGTTAATTTATGATCAGTTTTTGTTTAATTATTTGCCATTTATCTTGATTTTTCTATTGTATTCATGTTATTCAAAATTTAAATAACATGCATAGCTAATGTCTGACCTGAAAAGGACAATATTTGAAAATCTTTTATTAAAATATATGATTTTATTAAGTAATAGCTACCTAATAGTTAGAAAAACATTGTTTGCAGATCTGATAAACCATCTTGTTGACATTTTGGACACACCTCCTCAAAGGAAACTGAAGGAAACTGTTTCAGGTGAATTTGCCATGTCTGTTCCTGTTTAGCTGTGACTCCATCCTGGAGAGAAATATCAGCTGTGCTGCTGCCATCAACACCCTTGTTTATAGATGCTGGATATCGGCCTGTTTTTCAGTGTAGTCCCGTTTCTCTGACCGTGACTGGCTGGGTGTGCTCTCTTCATCCTCTGACATGGAAGCTCATCTGCCTGACTGTGTTTTTCCTGGACGGGGCCGCCTTTTACAGCTGCTTTTTGTATCTCTGCTTCTGTCCCCTCGGCAGATGGCCGCTCACACTGAGCCTGGTTCTGCTGGAGGTTTCTTCCTGTTACAGGGAATTTTTCCTCTCCACTGTCGCTACAAGCATGCTTAGTGTGGGGGATTGCATTCAAGTCAATGAGTCGATGCAATCAACTGGTTGTCCTTAGATAGAAAACTTTGAATCAATTTGACAGTATGATCTGGTTGAACTGTAAAGTGCCTTGAGATGACATGTGATGTAAATTGGCGCTATATAAATAAACTGAATTGAAATGATTATAAGGCTCATTGAGAGAAAGATAATTGAGATAATAGATAATAGATAGCAGTAACTAATCAAACTAAAGCAGGGCTAAAAATAGGACATATTAACTTCATGTCTTCACGCTTTGTCTACAATATAAATGTCTAATAAAAATGAAGAAAGTGACTGAAAGGTAAAGGTGCATCCAAAGGTTAGTCTGGTAATGTCTTGGTGGGGTTCTGGGGGCCAAGAAGTATGGGGCCTCCAGTTTTAACAACAGCTGCCTCTGTCTCAAAGGAGTGTGTAACAGAGTGGCCCCTACTGTGAAGAAGGGCCCTTCTAACCTTCTATTAGGGACACAGAGTAGCCTTTCTTTGAGGAGCCCCAACCTGACTGCTAATGAACACGCTGACCTGTCAGCTGTCATCACAGGTTGATAACAAGCAGGTCTTCATCAGAATCAATGGCATAACGACACAACAACAGGCCTGTAAGCAACATAATCTGGGTGGGCTCCAAATGAAGTACAACACCCCATCCATTGAACGTAACGGTTATGGTTTTAATCGACGCTCAGGATTACCCATAATTCCAAGCTGTAAAATACTCAAATAAATCGTTCTTTTAAGATCTTTATTGCAGTTTGAAACATATTGTATGGGTGTATTTTGTTTTACTACCGTCTAATGAACTATACACAGTTATTAACATAGTAATTAAAAGTTTGCTATTGGGTGTCGTATTTAAACGGCTCACCATCACATTAAAATCTGCCGTGTGTTGGGGTATAATATGGACTTCATAACAGATGTGATGACGAGGAACTTTTTTGCGCCCTAGGTCCACAATGGCGTAGGGGGGGTCTACATCTGCTGTGTTTAGGGTTAGGGCGGTCTACATCTGCTGTGTTTGTACCAATATTAACGCCTTTGATCAGAGGAACCAACAGGTGGTTTGCTGCTGCTGCCTTTAACTCACCTTTTCAGAGCTGACAATCAGCTTCTGCTCCACCTCTTCATGGACTTCTCCGTTCCTCTCTGGTAACACCGGGACCGGTGTGAGCTCCCTGGGTGTCTCCTCCTCCTCCTCCTCCTCCTCCCTCTCTACCTCCTGCTCCACCACCTCCACCACCTCTCCATTCTCCACCTCTGCCACCTCCACATCCCAGTTTTCTGTCCCCTCTGCCTCTGTGTCCTCCTTCACCACCTTCACCTCCTCAGTTTCCTTCTCCTCTTCTTCCCCCTCCTCCTCCTCCTCCTCCTCCAAAGGTAAGGGGAGCCCCTCGGTCACGTACTCCTTTAGACACTTCAGGTTGTGCTTCTTCAGCAGCTGCTCCGTGTCCGGGTCCACCACTATCAGCTCCAGCGGGCCCACGGTGGCTCTTATCCGGGACACCACCTGCTGGTGGCTCTCGCTCTCCACCTCAGCGCCGTTCACGAACACCAGTCTGTCTCCGGCTCGGAGCCCCGAGGACTCTGCCGGGCTGTCGGGCTCCACTAGGCGGATGAACTGACCCGTCTTGCCCTTCTCTCCGTGGAGGTGGAAGCCGTAGCCGTTGTCCCCCTTGTGCAGCGTGCAGAGCCGGGGGCGCAGATACTGGCTCTTGGTCGGCATGATGAGCTTCTCTCTCCTGCAACCTGTTGCTTCTTTTTCCAGTGGAAGTGACTGAGTTGGTTTTCGATTAAGCCCCCGTAACTGTTGATAAATCCGCTGGAAATGGTCCCGATCAGTTTCACAGGAGTTGGCGCAAAGCTGCTGTTTTAAAGCTGACTGGCTCCAGTGGGGTCCTGACCCTGGTCTGCCAGATCACATCTGAGCCTGATTAAACCCACTCAGCTGGAAAAGGCGTTTCGGTGCTGCAGCAGAAGTGGGAAAACCACTCAGGAAGAGGGAGGTGCGTTCACGGAACAGCCCAGCTGCTGCTTTATGCAAAAGAGGAACGAGTTGGATGAGAGAAAAGCTACGAACCGAGGCTATCCAGGAACAGAGGCGGCTTTGCATGAACGGCGCACTGGGCGAGCCCCTCCTTAGATAATAAATATATGTAATATATCTAAATATATATGTGTCATATAGCGTAATACATGTAATACTAATATATCTATCTATCTATCTATCTATCTATCTATCTATCTATCTATCTATCTATCTATCTATCTATACTTTCTAATAGGGCTGAAACAATAATCATATAAATCATGATCAATTGATTATTGAAATAATTGTTAACTGGAGTCTAGAGACTGTAAAATATGCCTTTTGCTGACAGAGCAACCCACTAAGCTGTCGTTATATCAAAATGCTTTTTTTGCATTTAAGATGAAAAAATAAATAAATGTTTCTTTCTGTCAATATGCTCTATCCAGAACTCCTCAAGTGGAAAAGTTTTAGTTTCACCTTGTTTACTTTCTTAAAAAAATCTTTTCGAAGGAACCTTTTGCTATCCAACTATTAATCATTAATTTATAAAAAAAAAAAAAAATCAACAGATTAATTGATTTGCTAAATAATTGTTAGTTGCGGCAATACTTTTCAATATCCTGTTAAATAAAGTTTCCCGTGTTTCATACTAAGGATTAATTGATCAAATGTTTATAGATTAATCTCTCAGTGGATTATAGTCCTGGATTATTGAAAGAACAGCCAACTAGGAACCAATTAAACCAGAACTGTAGAAAATAGTTTGCATTTAAAGTAAAAACCTTCCAGAACTCAAGTGGAAATTCTGTGAAATTAATTTCTGCTATAAAGCACCTGTTGCTATTCAGTTATTTAAGAAAAGAAAGATTGATAGATTAATCTCTCAGGGAAATAAGCGTTAGTTGTTTCCCTAATCTACTAAAACAAATTTTTTTGTGTGTCAAAACGCCTAAACGCTCAAAACAGTCCAGTAATCCTTCAAAAATGTCCAATAATATTAGTTCAATGTTTTGTTTTTTGGTATCAGGAATTAAAAATCTCTAAGGAGAAAAATAATTACATGTTAACTGTGTGATATTCTTATAAAAAAAATAAATAAAAGTAGTTTCATTGTAGTTTTTAATTCTTTTAATAGCTCAGCCAAAAATAAATTATTCAAAACTTTGAATTGACATTTATACCTTCACCTATATGCAGTTCGGACCATGACCAGCAGAACGTGATCCTGGATACAAATAAGGGTGGCTGGGCATTCCCTTAGAGATGGGGTGAGGAGCCACTTCTCCTCCACACTGAGAGAGGCCAGATTATCTTTTTAGGATTCCCCCTTTCAGGCAGGTTTCACCGGGAGGAGGCCCAGGGGACGACCCTGGCCTGGGAGTGCCTCGGGCTCCCCCCAGCAGAGCTGGAGTAGGTAGCTGGGGATAGGAGTTTGTGCTGAGACTGCTGCCCTGTTACCCAATGCCAGACAAGCAGGAGAGGAAAAGTAAAAAAAAAAAAAATCTAACAAAAAAACATTTTATTCAAAGAATAAAGCTGTTATTTTATTTTTATTTCTTTTGGGAGGGGCTTTAGGTGGGGCTTTTTTCTCTCTATATGATTGTAGATTAAAAACAGAAAAGGTCACATTTGCGTTCTCTTAAAAACACAAAAACTTATGAAAATGTCTCCTGTACTCAGAAAACTCAGATTAGTTCATTGAATGGTTAGGCTTAAATCTGCCTGACTTGTGCATGTTGGAGTTTTTTTATTGTAAAAATAAGGACAACGAAAAAGAAACCCAAAGCAAACTGGAAGCTTAAAGCACTACAAACTGATTTCACGTTCTTTTACGGCACAAAACAATGATTTCTTTTTCTCTAACGTGCATTCTTTTATTTTTATTTTATTTAGCCTTTATTTAACCAGGTTAGTCCCATTGAGATCTATTTGCAGTGTGACTCATGCTATAGATTGATTGTAGGAGGGGGGCAAGCTTGGTACAGGTGTAACACAGCACACAAGGAATGACATCATGACTCCAAAAGACAGACAGTTGCACACTCACTGCAGTTCACACCATTATTAAATAGATGACTATAATCATTTTGCAGTTTGATCACTATCAATCATAGAATGAATGCTTTATTTGGTCTCCAGTAGTAAAAGTGTTTGTGCTTGTATGCAGAGGACACTATATGGAGCTGCTGCCACACTGTGGCTCATTAACCTCAGCACACCCCGTCATCCAGGATGAGCTCCGACATACACACTCTCTCACACACACATAAACAGGCACAGACGAGACCGACTTCAATAAGGCAACACCACATACATTACAAAATATACTTTTTTTATATCGTTGGTATGACAACAAAGCACTTTAATGGCACTTTGTGATCACTGTGACACCTCCATGGAGGGAGAGACAACCAAACATTCAGAATGAACAGTGTACAAAGTAATACACAATGCGGTGCATTAACAAATACTGCTTGGCACAGTCTCGACTACAACATCCATCATTAGAGGAGACGACAATGCTAAGGGCTGTGGAGATCTGTGCGGAGTAAAAATATGTTTTTTTCCTGTCTGGGTGGACGTGAGGTAAAACTACAGCAGCAGTTAGATGTTTGCATACTCTCATACATCCAGGACGTAATCGTCTCACTAAACCAGATTTTTTTTTTAAGGATTTCTATGAATTTTTCTTTTCCCAGAGATAATTGCGCAACATAAAACTTTAATGATTTTTTAAAAAGAAGCTTGGATTTCCTGGAATCCACATATGGCTAAAATTCTATGAATGAAATATATACATACACCAGCAAAATCCTTTTTATAAAAGTTTTTTTTAGCAAGTTGCAAAGAAAACTTCATTTTTGCAGCAATGATCGAGGCCCTGGCATAATTAGGGGGGGATAGCTGAACATGCTTTGAAGAAATTGATTGAGTCGGTAAATTTACCATAGATCAGTCATTCCATTAGTTTAATTAATGTCTGTTAATCCTTTGTAATCCCAGATTAGACATGGGTTTGAGATTATTATCCTTCTGCAATAAAGTTCTATCTAAATGTCAACCAACTGATCAAAACGTTCCCCTTCAGATAAGAAGGAAATATGTTATGGTCAACACAAGGGATACAGAGAGATGAAGCTGCCAGTGGTATGGGTGTGTTGTAACAAGTGGACTGAATAACTCTCACCTCACCATGGATTTAGAGGGCATCAACCAGCCAACAAACACCTTCAAGTTTAACATGGGCAACCTGAATAGCTTTATGGTTCAGGTTAGACGTTTAACTGCAACCTCACAACAGAATAGATAAAATAGTTTGTTTCCTTGGATTAGTCTGATGTCTTTGGATAGAGACGAAGTGACGTCCACACTTTGGTGGGAGTCAAAACCTTACAATGCTTGCTATTAATTCCTGGCTTATAATGTAATCCCAAAATGCATAACCCTGGCAATAATTTGTTCATTAATCACAGTCCTCATGTGTGATAGGTTCTTGTGATAGCATGCAACAGTGCCCAGACAATTTGTTGAAATATTCAAACTGAAAGTGAACCATGCATAATGAAGGACGGGTTCGCCCCGTGCACTTCATGCAATGAAACTAAAGGGTAAGGAGTGAGAATGGAGGAGCCAAGCATTAACTCCAAAGCATGTTGGGGGCAGGATAATACTGAGGGACTATTCTGCTTCTAGTGGTATGAGTTTATCGCACAAAAGGTAGGGAACATTTACGAAGAACTGGCTCTAAATTATTCAACTATACTTCAAAATCAACAGCTAGATCAAAGAATCTCAACAGACTAAAGGACAATAATCCCATGATCACATTAAAGACAAAAGCTCAAACCTGGCGACATTTTTACATCTTATATCACTAAATCAGAAACTTTTCATGGCTAGAAAAAATGTGTGGTTCCTTTGCAACTTGCTTAAGGGTAATTAATGGATAAACTCAACATGCTCTACATCTGAATCTGTTCCTCTGTAGCGAAAGAACATCAGAGATGCAGAACAGTTGAATTGTGCAAATGTATCAAAAGTATTGACGCCATCTGTGT